TCAAGAAGAAACAATTAAAAAACAGCAAATGTTCGGCCGGGCTGAACATTTAATACCTCCACTCTTATATGGGGGATATACGAAGGCGTGGACCATCATAAGAATCTTTTTGTCATAGGCTGAAGTACCAATTCCGAGTTTCAAATACGAAATTTGAAACAATTCCGGTTAATAATGCCGCTAAAATCATGAAAATACCGAACATCAGAAGGTATCGTTATATGGAGGCTATACGAAGACGTGGACCTGCATTCGCGGTTTTTTGTCATAGGCTGCGACAATTTTGCATGTTGTTACGATCAACGAGTTGGAAATGTGTCTCATCATTTAATATTGTTTTCAATGAAATTTCAGATGATTATACTGTCATTGATAACACCAAAATATGTCTCGAAATAATCAATTCAGATCCAGTTTTTTTTGACGAAATGCTATGCAGGACATTAGGCATCGAGCTAGCGATATCAGTTCGATTTCGTCCAAATTTAGTTCATCGTTCTATTAAACTCAAGTGGAAGAAGAAATCAATTGATTGACTCCCTCTCCTAAACATTTCTAAGAACCCCATAAAATTCATAGAAATGCAATTCTGTCCGTGCACCGCATTAAAGTAGAGATGATTTGGAACAAATTTACCTTGCCAATATTTTAAGGTTCTATCATATTTTCCGAAAATTTTGATAAATTTTTTAACAATTTTTCAAGGATAGATTCATACATTTTTATTTATATCCAAAATCCACCTAAATCGCATGCACAACGTAGATTTCAAAATGATGAATTTCAATTAAGTAGTGGTAGATAGGCATATATAATTGAAATTCTGCCTCCTAATTGTCTTGATATGTATTTCAGGATAACACGCTGCCATTATTCGTCCAGCTAGCATTTATGCACTTCCTGCCTGTCCACTGTCCACAAAATATTGCAAATTAAGGCTGCGATTAATGAGCCATGATTTGCAGACCAAAAATGGATTCCTAGCAGCAAATGATTCGTTCGGTGGAATGACTTCAAATATGGCAATGTGACGCGCCATCATCAGGATGACAGGAACGGAATAAAGCAAAGGATTGAAACATTGCAACAAACTATCCATGTATATGTGTGCAGCTCATACATCTATCTACTTAGCTGTCTGCGACATATGGCAATGCCCATTGACCCAGCCGTTTGGCGATAATTGACGACGAAGCGCAGTTGAATGAATTCCAAGGGGGCGGTGCGGGGTCCCGAAACGTGCACTCGAACATGAAAAATCTGCGACAAATGTTGTTCGCCGGTTCATCTGTTCCATCCAGCTTTGATAGATGGATAGATTGATGGTTGACATATTGCACGTAAATCAATTGGTAAAATGTCGATTTTTTTGTGTCGCTGCTGTTGTTTGTTGTCCTTTGCTCTTTTTGAACAAAATTATAAATTCATTACCACATAAACATGGCCGTCAATTGTTAGTCGGCCCGCTGCCGAAGTGAAAAGTTTATAATATTAAAAATTTATGACAGTTTAATGGCCATTAATGACTTAATGTTTTTAACATGTTACCATATTAACATTCTACAAGGATACTTGGGAAAGAGTTGATGACCTATAAAGGCCAGTTCGCATTGACCAAAGAGTCATGATAAAAATCATTGATGTTTGGGGTTTTAAATGTAATCAAAGAAGCCTTGGAAACAGAAGATAACGAATAACGGATGTAATAGATTCTTTATTCCTTAATATCAATGGCCCGGACGCATTTCCGAACCACTGCCAAATCTCAAACATAAATACCATCAGTAATATAAATATCAAATTTCAGAATTTACCTTCACACAATTCCAAATATGGTACCATTCAGTGCAATTCGGACAATTATAGTACATATTTCCGATACCAGGCTACACATGAACAGCGACCATAATATTGTAGATTTCAGACACTGTTTGTTTACCCAATTCCGAATTTTACTAAATATATTATTTAGTACTATAAGTACTTTTCGTACTTTTGTAGAACATATTTCCAAAATCACCTCTTTATCACAAACCTACCACAAAAAGGGATTTCAATACAAACTTTCAAAATTCCAGCTTCATCTGTTCAACCATAACCAAACTGTACAACCTTGATTCTTATACCAAATTTTTGTTCCAAGTTTCTGAATTCTAGCTCATTCCGTTTGCCCAATACAAAGTATTCAATTTTTAGTACCTCTGCATTTTCTGTTGCGATCAAAGAACATATTTGCCCGATTTCATTCGAAAGTGTAAAATGGTTCTAAGCCACTCGTCCGACAGCTGTTAAAATTATTCCAGTGACAGCTCATTGTATTGTTTACAAGCGTACAAAAGCATTGTTCTGAGAATTTTCCAGAAAAAAAGTTATTCGTGATGGATGGATGATGGCGTGATAGTGTGATTTTTTACATTTGGCTGGAAAACCACAAGTGCCTATCGTTAGAGCATTTAAATATGAATAAATCTTTTGTGTCTCGTACCGTGGGTTGTTACTGTGATACTGGTAGCGTAGCCCGCTGTCAAGGAAGTGGACGGAAGAAACCAGCAACATCAGCAGAAATGGTTCAAAAAGTAAAGAAGCGACTTTATCGAAACCCGCGTCGCAGTGGCCGAAAAATGGCTCGTGAGCGAAACATATCGCAATATTCCATTCGGCAAATATTGAAAAATGAGCTCGGGGTGAAGACATTGAATTTCCAAATAGTGCAAAAACTTACACCGCAACAGAAAAAAATAGTAACGAGTTGCTTAGCTTGGCCGAAAGTGGTGAATTGCAGAATTTGGTTTTCTCCTTCGGTTGGCCACCAGAACTCAAGCGCCGGCCATGGTGATGGTGTGGGCCGCCATAACAACCGATGGTTGCTCTCCGCTCGTGGCATCAGAATAAATGCCGAATATTATCGCGAAAATATTCTGGAAACATTTTGGCCGCAGACCTTGCACATTCCAACAGGATTCAGCACCATCGCAATCAGCACGCGCCACCCAAGACTGGTTACAAAATTAGGTGCCTCGCTTCATTTCCAGCGCACAATGGCGCAAAATACCGCAGAGCAACATTCGGACAGCTTGTGACGGTTTCATTGTCCGTTTGAAGGCCATAATTCGTGCCAAAGGTGAAAAATTCGAACAAATCTAAACTTATTCTAAAGTTTGATGCTATTTCCGATATTTTTTGCTTTCATTCAATAAAATTTAACAAAAAATGGAAAAATTATGGCTTTTGATTTTGTTGCAGTTTTTTATACCCTTCACCATTCTATGGAGAATATATTAACTTTGTGATTCCGTTTGTAACTCCTCGAAATATTCGTAATAGTCCCTCTCTACAAAGTATATTTATTCTGTTTGTTGTAATCACGCCATCTTTCGAATGATTTAAGATAGAAGGCTAAAATTTTCCATCCATGCATAGTTTACCAGCAGGCAGGTTAAGTTTGTAACCTGCCTGCTGGTATAGCCCCCATATATTCGGTATTTTGATGGTTTCTGCAACATTATTCACCGGAATTGTTTCAAATCTCGTACTGGAGATTCTAATGGGTACTACAACCAAAAACAGAAAATTGTCCGTGCAGGTCCACGTCTTCGGTACCTCCCGATATTCCATATTTTCATGATTTTTGCGACATTATTTACCGTAATTGTAACAAATTTCGTATGATAAAAAAAATTTTCGTATACAGGTCCACGTCTTCGTATAGTCCCCATATAACGGTTTTCATTTAAGTGGTAACTTTTGGATTTCCTTTTAAATTTTTCAATATCCTTCGAAATGGTATTAAAAACTTCTTTTTTACTTGTTTTTATCCCACCCTGTATTTCCTATGGTCTACGAGTAAAGCACGCATAATGGGTTATAAGTGAAGGGTTGTGGAGAATCATTATTAGACTTATTTTACTCTTTCAAGATCTTCTCACACTCCTCTTTTTAATAACCTCCCAATTTTTGCCAATTTAAAATAATTCAACTGCAAATAACAATCTCAGTTAAAATATTTACCAGCTGTCACCAATTAATCTGGCCAATTTCATTTCGAGTAGACCACGGTTGGAGGAGAGCAAACATCACTGGCTAATTGTTAGTGTTGCTGCTGTTGGTAGCGGGGAGTCTATAATAAGAATAGTTAATTTGCTGTGAACAACAACAAACAAACAAATAATAACTCCATGTTTACAAGAACAGCAGTAGCAACAGCAACAACAATAACAACAACAATGAAAATAATTATTTTAAATGTTACCTCGGGAGAACAAAACTAAATGGCAGACCAGTTGGTTTTCGGAAATGTTCAGCAACAAATTGCTGGACAAAAAACAAACCAAGCTCCACAACAATAACCTCAAACAGAGAGGGAGGGGAGAGGGTAGAGGGTATTATTGTGTTCCTTGTTGGTCATGTCAACACTTCCATTGCCACATTTCTTTGTTTCTCTTTTTCATGTTTTTCGATTTTTTTTTCGTTTTTCTGCCAAGAGTAATTTCCTAATTAAAAATGGAAATAAAATGTGGGGATTCCTTCCCCTCACAGCCAGAGATGTTACAATGTGTCCGTTTATTATTTGTCTAATAGCCGTGCAAAACAGTTGTTGTCGTTGTTCCATTTACTTGGAATTCATTATGCAACGAAGCAACTAATGATGATGATGCTGCCGCTGATGATGGCCAGAGAAGAGCCAGTTAGCTGCTTCGAGTTCGGAGGAGTCTACTTAAGTGAGCATAAATTTACTGGCCAACAAAGTGTACTGCCCTAGGAGGAGGAGGAGGAGGTGTAGAGAAGAAGATGAAGAGAAATAATTTTTGAATGACTGACTAAATGACTGAGTGAGTAAGTGAAGTGGCTGGCACCTAATGACCGACCCAACTTACTCGCTCAGTCACTCACTCACCCGCGTGCCCCTCGCTCGCTCACTCTCTGGCCAATTCATTCATTCATATTCATGAGAAGCAAAATGAATGCGGGTTAGAAGAAAATGCTAATGGAAATAAGTTTACCTGCTGCTGTTGACCCAGATCCTCATCATCGTCAATGCTTAGGCCTCGGCTGGCCTTTAAAGAGTTTTCAAAATTCAGGGCACCAATGGAGAAGATGTCATCCAGCCATTTTTTGTCATCTTCGCTCAACTCGACCACATCTGTGGTGCTGTCATCGTTGATGGCGGCGGCAGTTGTAGTGGAGGCTGTGGTTTCTGGTAAAATGGTGTTGGTGGTCACATCATCGGCGCTTTGATTTGTGGTCTGTTCCTCTGTGGTTGTATCTTCTTCGTTATCATTGCTTTCCACCTGTTCTCCTTCCGTTGTGGCCACGGACAACACCTCTTCCGTGGCTTGGCCTTCTATGTTGCCATTTTCACTCTGTGTTTCCTCATTTTCCTGGATTCTAAGGTTATTCGAAGAGAGACGTTTAGAACTAATGGCTGAGGCTACAATTTGATCTTCTAGATGCTTCATGTCATCGGCGGAGAGTTCATGGCGTGAACCTCCATTGAAGACGGAACTCTTATCATACTTATCATTAATGGAATTGGCACGGACCAAGGGATTACGGGGAGACTGATCACCATCCTCATCCAGAGCATTTGAACTGCAGTTAGAATGTTGTAGCTCGCGCACCTTGTCACCCCATTCGGTGCGCAGCCAAGGTTTCTCCAAAATGACCAAATGACAGACAATTTCGGCATCATTGTCCTTCGTGTCCACGGCATTTACGACAATGTCGTATTTGACGCCATTCACAATTTCCCGAAAAGCATCGACGATGTTGATGAAGTTCATCGACAGTGGCAGGAAGGTGATGGCTATGTTCTGGACTCCAATCAAGTTGGGTGAGAGATATTCACGTTCGCCGGGATTCAAGACATGTACCAGTTTGATCGGGTCCTCTGAGACTGGTTCGGCGGTTTCTACCTCGGGTTCATTCTATTGTTGGCGAGAGATGGTTGGATCGATGTACAATGAAAAAGAACAAAGGATACATCTTTTTGATTTAGACAAATACACAAGTGTTCGGAAATGATTTTTTGTTTGGTATTAGTCAATAGCCAGGCAAGCCCATTAGCATTCCGATTCATTCAAACTAGCCGTGGAATTTGTGGGGCACATTGAAAATGCATGAATTGTGAGGCATTAGCAAGCAGCGGTAGGGTTAATAAAGCGAGGGGTTAATTGGTTATAATTATATTAATGTTTCCAAGGGGTTATGCTATTTGGAGAGAAAGCTCCATTTATATATTTTATTTTATAACAAGTTCTTAAAACTAAAAATCCTCCCACGCATCATCAATAATTCCACAAACAGCGCCAACACACTTCTACGCCTTCTAAGCGCATTTGTGTGTAATGACTATTTTCCAAGATGTCTCAACAGTATATCCTTTGATGTCCTTTATTAATAATTGGTTGTCTCTTGTTTTTGATGCTCATGTCCGTTGCTCTATTCAATAATTAATTTTGAAAAAGAAGCTTACGAGAGGACATGTCTGAACTAATTACTCGACTTTGTCAATCAAATGTCCTTTGTACAACACATCCTGGCCTGATTTCGTTCTACTTTACTTCACTTTTGCCGTGAAACTTTGCAGATAAAACTGTTTGTTTGTGTGGCAAAGGAAGTGATTAGAAATGAGACGGAAACAGGATATTGTTTTATTTCATCTCTTTGTTTTTTTTTTTGCAAAGTAAGCATAAGAGAAAAGGATAATTATTTTCTTAAAATGAGGTTTTTAACGGATATGCTTTTTGAGAAAAACAACATTTTTTTAGGTTTGATAATTTGAGAAATTAGAGAAGCTAGAGAAGCCATAGGATATCTTCTCAGCAAAGCAACCAATAAGAGTTCGAACAAAAATCAATCCAAAAGACAGAAGGAAACGATCGATGCGCATGCGATCTCAGTCCGGTTTTGCTTTAAGTCTGGCATTTTCCCGACTTGCAAATCGAATTTTATCCAAAACCTGAGGGGAATTCATGGGGAATTTTTAAGCAAAATCAGAGTAGAAGGGTGATATCAGTCCATCATACAAACATATCTCAAAGACAACAAGACAAATTTTACTTCAAAAAGAGAAAAAAATTGAAAAAAAAAAAAAAAACAAAATTCCCCAAAGGCTATTAGAGGTTGAAGAAAAACTTTAAACTTTGTGAAGAAATGGTTGAGGGTTTGCTAGGTAAATAGGATAAGGAGATATCATTGAACTTGTCTCGAAAGACCAAAAAATAAACAAAACAAGAAAAAAAAAAGCTAAGTTGGGTCGGGCCGAATTTTTAACACCCTCCACCATTTTGAAGGAACTACAGAGTAGAAATATCCTCTCTCAATGCAAAATCCAAAAAGTGCAAGAACTTACACCGCAACAGAAAGAAAATAGACTCAAAAGAGCTAAAGAGTTGCTTTGCTTGGCCAAAAATGGTGAACTGCCGAATTTGATTTTGTCCGATGAGAAAACATTCGTTGTTCAGCAGTCTGTAAACAAACAAAATGATCGTGTTTACTTGCCAAAGAGGTCAGCTGAAAATGTGCACCTTCGATTGGCCACCAGAACCCATGCGCCGGCCATGGCGATGGTGTTGGCCGCCATAACAGACGATGGTCGCTCTGCGCTCGTATTAATCGACCGTGGCATCAAAATAAAAGCCGAATATTATCGCGAAAATATTCTAGAGGGTGTATTAAAACCTTGGACACGCAAACATGTTCGCCGCAGTCCTTGGACATTCCAACAGGACTCAGCACCATCGCACTCGACACGCGCCACACAATAATGGCTACAAAATGAGGTTCCTCGCTTCATTTCCAGCGCACAATGGAAAATCTCCGTATACCAATCCGTTGGACTATTGTTTCTGGAGTATTTTGGCAAGCAAGGTTGACACTAAAAAATACCAAAGTGTCGATCACCTCAAGCAAGCGCTTTGCCGGGAATGTGTCAAAATACCGCAGAGCAACATTTGGGCAGCGTGTGTCGGTTTCATTGGCCGTTTGAAGGCCATAATTCGAACAAGTCTAAATTTATTCTAAAATTGGATGCTATTTCTGACATTTTTTGCTTTCATTCAATAAAAATAAAAAAATGTAAAAATTATGGCGTTTGACTTTGGCATTCTTAGAGATTTTCGGACTCCCCTCAGTGTTTTTTAAAACCAGAGTTTTAAAGCAAATTCCCACAATCTCCTAACCTCCACACAAAAAGCATGTCCAATAACTATTAACAATTTACAACTTTGTATATAAATAAATAAATAATTAATTTAACACAAATTTGAACAAACATAAACATGTTCGAAATTACCAAAGGTCAAACGATTATGTTAACAAAATTGGGCAACAATTGGAGAAGACATGAAAATTGATTTCAAGACCAACCACCCGGTGTGTCAACATCAACAAGAAAAAGAAGAAGCAGCAGAGACAATTTCATTCCAAAAAAAAAAAAGAAACGAAAAACCGAAATACCAGTTGATTTGCACCACATGTGTGAGAAGAGTTCCAGCTGAGCTTTGGACGACCTCCTCCTCTTGCAGTAGCAGCTATGCATTTGCATCATTGTCGCAGTGGTATTGCATTGGCCACATTCAGACATACCTACTCGCGTACATACATATGTATGCATACGTATGTAGGTGTACCACCAATAACTTGACTCATCATCGAAACCATTTTCATTTTCTTCGCCACTGGCGCCCGGCCGTTGTTGACAATAACAACGATGACAACAACAACATCAACATCGACAACTATGATGAAATGTGGTTTCATCTACTTTTATTTGATGCAGTAACCAGATACCACCACAGCGTGAGTGAGGGAGTGGAATTGATGATGGGGCGGAGGCGAGGCTTATTACGTTCGCCTGTTTGTTATTAAAAACTATTCGTTGGATATTGAAGAAAACGTCGTAGCCGTTTTTTTTTTTTTTTTTTTTTTTTTTTTTGGATCTAAAAGAACAATTATCATATGAACCCACAAAATGAACTACTGTGGACCCAGTGGGCAGGCACCAACAACGTCGATAATTTATTCAGCCGTTTATTTAAAAATAAGAGGTAATATCTTTGCAGAGCAATTTAAACCGAATAAGTAGTCGGTTTAATTTTTGGAACATCTGTAGATTTTCCATAGATAATTCAGATTTTACAGGCTATTTTACACTGAGATTTATAGAAGAAAAAATACTTATTTTGTGCGACTTATGATGATTATGATGGTTAACTGAGGAATGTTTTGAGTTCGATTCAAATAGAGGATAAGGGTAAAATAGCACACTAACTCTAGAACTAACATATTTTTATATTGGCTTTTAGTGGCCAAGAATAATTGCTCATTTCGGGTGGCATGCCTTTACAAAAATAAAGGGTTTGAAGGTCGATTTTTAAGTAGATACGATTTTCCCTAAAAAAAAATATGGAACAAAAAACTCCTATGGAGTCGTCCCAGAAGTTTTCTCAGGAGAAATCAACGTGAAAATCAACACTATAAAAATTAAAAAAAGCGGCAGAAAAATCGATCTTTACGCAGAAAGAAGGAGAATTAAAAAATTATATATACACTGGTGGCCAAAACTAAAGCAACTAAAATCGCAAAGATAATAAATGTCCTGTAACTTTTACAAAAATAAACAAAACGTAATTATTTTTCCAGTTTTAAATGAGGTCTTTAAGAAACTAAAAATAAAAACACAAAAACAATTTTGAATGAAAAATAATATATGGAAAACTAAAATGACTTATTTTTGCGTGGTCAAAACTAAAGCAACTTTTTGATTTTTTATTTTAAAATAATTAAATTTTGGCTAGTAGTCGATAGCATCCATTATTTTTGATAGCAGCTGCACACCCTGAATGCTTTGGAAAATGTTGTGCTTATTTGTTTCCGAATCTCGCTTGATCTTCCTGTTTACGATACTCCAAAGGTTTTCTATGGAGTTTAGGTCAGGTGGTTGTGTCGGACAAGACAAAACATCGATTTTTGACTCCCGCAATCAATATTTGACAAGTTTTGATGCAAGTTTGGGATCATTGTCATGCTGAAACACCCAAATGAGCCGAATCTTTTACTCGGCGTAAGGGAACAACGTGATGTCCAACACATCTTTGTAAACAAACAGATCCATAACTTCCTTTATTTCATGGATACGCCCAAGTCCATAGAAAGAAAAACAGCGCCCCGCCATTTTTGACCCTCCCTCATGCTTCACTGTACTTTTGCAACACTGCGGCTTGAGTCTTTCATTTTTTGGTCTTTTCACCGTAAAAATTTTCACGTCTGAGCCTTTAATATTAAACGTAGACCCATCCCAGAAATAATGTTTTTCCATTGAGCTCGATTCCACTAAATATTATCGTTTCCGAAAGCCTTTTTGATTTTTTCAGATATAAATAGCTTTTTTGATGTCTTACGGGCATGCAGACCAGCTGCCACTACTCGTCTACGCACTGATCTCGAGCTTATATCCAATGATTGCTCTCTCACCAATCCAGTTGAACTCTTAAATGGTTGTTTTTTATTTCTCTCACATGATCAGTACTACTGATCCAGTTTCATAAAACCGACATAGTATACAGAAATAATTATGAAATCACAGAAATATTTATGAAATCACAGAAATATTTATGAAATATTTCTCGTAAATCATTTTCTGTGATATTTTGTTTTCATAGTCACTGATAATTTACTGTTTTATTCATGTACTGTATTTGCTTCTAGCCATTTTTAAACTTTTTCTAGGCAGTACTTAAAAAAGGAAAAGAAAAACACATGCTGTTGTAAAAAAAACTTCTCAAAAAGGATCTATAACAAGCGAAATTGTCGAAGGAAGCAAAAAGCGATAAATATCACAGTAAAAACAACTGAAATTGCAGCGGTTATATGAATGTACAACAGAGTTGCTTTTGTTTTGTCCAAGCCAAAATCGGGTTAATTG